GAGCACCGGCTTGGCGGCTCATCTCATTTCAGGGACATCCATCACAAGCGTGTTTGTCACTGCACCAAGGCAAAGGCTTTAGAGCAGGAGCGTTTCTCTCTCCACCCACACATCTCCACCCTCCGTCATCTCAGCTCTTGAGATTAGATGCTGTAAGATCCAAACCACCTTCAGCTTAGATTTTGCGAAACCCAAACTGCAGTTTTCTCCCGGGTGATGGGTGTCGTGTTTTCAATCAAATGTGGATTCTTAAAGTATTATATAAATCAACAGAATAGGATTTGGTTTTGGTTTTTTTTTCCCATAAAAACTGAAGGCTTCTGCAGAACCATTTTTTGGTCCTTACTTGGGAAGAATCTCAGCTGACTTAGTTGTGGTTGAATATTGTAATTGAAATCCAGTCTGATCGCATTAGCTTCTCCTTTTAAACCAGAAACTTGAGAAAAATACGCAATTCAGTGAGGGTAAGGAAAGAGAACAGGCTGCCCTTGCTCTAGAAATACAGGAAGTTTATCCAGTGCAATGAGGAATGGCTTGTGCAGGGGTTTGTGCTCAGGGAACTTAATGAAATCAGAACAGAGACGGGGAATGGCTCAGCTGCCTTCAGGCTCTGCCCAAATCAGGAAGATTCAGGGGATGTTTCCCTGAACTCGTTTGGAGACAGTGACTCCAAATGAAGTTAAGCATGAATGTCAGGATCGGAAAATCTGGATGCCTGGGGGAATTTTTGTATGTAACTGAAGTACGGGGAATGGGAGAGTCAGGTCACCTTACCTTGGGAATGGGAGAGTCTCTGGGCTTGGCAGTGGCACAGGGGACAATGGCTTAAGTGTGTTATTTTCCTGTGAATTAGATACAGATATAATTTATTTAAGTAAAGATCGTTGGAGGGATTCTTGTGAAACGTATTTGTGTGTTTTCCTGTGAAAATGCCAACTGGCACGACCTAACCGAGAAACTCCTTCATCAGTTGCATTAATCCCATCTTTGCATCGTACCATCTCCCAGCCCAACGTCCTGCCATCGAGTTCAGACACTGTGTCCCTTCTGCACGTGTCTCCGGGTAGGTGCCTCCATCCTCGCCTGGATGCAATGAGGAAACGTGGCATCCAGATTTTGGGTGACTTGACCCATCCATACCCAAAGCTGCTTTATACTTTCTCTTCTTTGACAGCACTGAAAAGGAGAATGTCACCTCGTGTGGCCACGGGAGACATTCGGCTCTTCCTGCAGTTCCCAGCCCTGTTTTTCCTCCAGCTTTCCCTTGGTTATACAAGCTTTTATTTTTGATACGGCCCTTATAAGGCGAGTCCGTTCTACAGACAGCTTTCCTTACGTTCATCCTTGCCAAGATGATGTCACCTTCAAAAAAGAAACTTGCAAAAGGTTAAACTGTGATTAGATAGATCGCTTCGCCTCCAGCTGTAATCTTCGGCGGAATAAACGCCGTGAAGATGGAAAGGGGAAGATAAGGGTCCGGTGCTGGCGCCAGCGCCGTGTAACGTTGAGGGCTAAATGCTGGGGGAGCGAAGGACGTTTGCAGCACCGTGCCCGCTCGCTGTGCCAAGGCTGAGCCGCCTCTCGCTCTCCTTAGAGATTTGCTTGGTCCTGGCTCATCACTTTTCCCCCCTGCTTGCAGAGGTAAGAACTCTATGGGTTTGTTGGTTTTTTTTTTTTTTTCCTCCCTGTGCACCTAAAATCATCTCGTGTTACTTTCTGTATTGTCTGGATGGATGCAAAAAATTATTCCTCTCTTGAGAGCATCCATGCCGTACTCAATGTGTTCTTTCTCCCAGGTGCCACACTTAAAACCTTTTACATTTCATCAGCAAATAGTTCTGTAAACCCCTCAACTGTCAAAAAACCAGCATGTGAAGGCGGTGGTGGGAGGGGAGGTGGTATCGCTCTGTGGTTTCAGAGCTGGAGGGAAGGGGAGAGCCGCCAAGTTCAGCTGCCCGGGGTTGGCCATGGGACCCCGTCATAAATATTTGAGTAACAGAATTATTTTAACTTTCTGTTAATGGAGGGTTTAAGCTGTTGGTTCAACTTAAAAGGGTTTTAAAGCTGCGTGCTTCTGCGTGCTGCTCGCAGTTAGGAGAAGACGGCGTGAAACGTTAATTGGCATCATCTAGGAAGGGGACAAGGATGGGACTCTCTGCTATCGGTTCCAGGACAGCAGTGCCACTCGTCTAATGCCGCAGCACAGCACGGAGCTGGGTGAGGTCCACCAGTGTCCCCGATCTCCCCCAGGCCACCACTGGACCTGCACCTCCACCAGCGGGACGTCCCCCCCCCCCAGCCACAGTCCCCATCCTGGGGGTGACAGCGGGGTGGTGGCCCAGCCTGGTGGCAGAGGACAAACGGGGACACGGCACGTCAAGGGGGTTTCAAGTGGGACGTGGATGGATGTGACCGCTGGGCTGGGGTTTTCTTATTTGTTTTGGTTTGTGGTTGTGTCGTGTGGGTTGTTTTTTTTTTTTTTTTTCTCAAATGCGGTAACTGTTTTTGAAAACGCTGAGAACTTGGCAAGGGTCAGCAGCGGAGGTATTCAAGGCATCCCAGCTGGTTTTCCCTTCCGCTCCGTCTCGGCTGGGACGGCACGGGCAGCCCGGAGCCTGCCCCATGGATGGGGACTGGCACAAATACAGGCTGGGCGGAGAATGG